TCAGTTTGTGGCTTGTCTTTTCATTTTCTTATTGATATCTTTTGAGAAGAATGTTAGATGGAGAATTCTATAAATGTCCATTAGACCCAGTTGGTTTATGGTATTGTTCAGTTCAACTATATCCATACTTGTTTTGTGCCTATTGGATCTGTCAGTTACTGAGAGGGGGGTTTTAAAGTCTCCAACTGCAATAGTACTTCACCTATTTCTCCTTGCAGTTCTGTCAGTGTTTTGATACTGCTCTTAGGATTGTTACGTCTACTTGGAGAATTGACCTCTCTATTATACAATTTTCCTCTTTATTCCTGGTCATTTCCTTGCTCTGAAGTCTGCTTTGCCTGAAATGAATATAACAACTCCAGCTTCCTTTTGATTAATGTTAGCATGGTATGTTTTTATCCTTTTAGTCTGTGTCTTTATGTTTAAAGTGTGTATATTGCAGATAACATATATTAGCGCTTGGCTTTTTATCCACTCTAACAGTTTTTGCTTTTTAATTGTTGTATATAAACCACTCACTTTTAAAGTGATTATTAGTTTAATATTTATCATATATGTAACTATTTTCCATTCATTGCTTGTTCTCCTTTTTTTTTTTTTTTTTTTGGTCTTTCACTCTGTGAAATATATGTCTCCCACAATGTTTGGTCTTTGATGATGTGCAGTTTATTTTTCTTGTTTTTAAGCCTCACTTGCTAGGGTTCACCCCTCTGTCTAAATAGCTTAGCCTTCAGGCTTAGATTAGTTAGAAATTGTACTTAAACACCTTGAGCCAGTAAGGCTTCCACTCTCTGCTGATGAATGTGTGTAAGGGTTGGCAAACACATTCAGATTTCCAGCCTTTTTCAAGTCTTCTTGCCTTTTACATTCCCCTGGGCTTCCTTAGTTTTCCTCCAAATATGCTTACAGGCTCCATCATCCAGGGACATGTAGGAAGCTTAGGCCCACTCTAGACTCTGCTGTGTGTACACATAGCTCTGGCCAGTTTGGGATATGCTAAGAGTTTATTGTGTAGCTCTCTCCTATGACTCCAATCCCCTGGAATTCCCTATCAAATCCCAGACTGGTCTAATCAGTTAGTTGCTCAATCAGGACTGCAAATACTGAAAAATTGAGTCATTAGTCCTCCCTGTTCACATGTCAGGTAAGCTCCCTCTGTCAGTGCCTCACCCTGGTTAAGCAACAGAGTTGGGGAGCTAGGAAACACAATGGGAGCATTCTTGGGCAAGAATCCATAGACTTGCTCTGTTTCTACCCAGTGTTCAATGTTTTCATGTATAAATGATTCTCAGTTTGTTATATGCCTTTGGTTGATTTCCAGAGTGAAGTGGTTGTTTTTAATAGTTTTTTACAGCTTTATAGTTGCTGTTTGTGGAAAGGACATGTTGACCTCCTCATTCTATCATGCTGGAAACAAATGTCCTTTTTATAGAATATCTGGCATACTGATGTACATTTTTTGGTTACCATATTTTGAACCTGAAACCATGGCTGACATTTTATATGTATATCTGGGTGTGTATACACACACTATATAAAACATTTATAATGGGATAAAAAAAATGACAGGTGCCCTAATCAGTTTGGCTCAGTGGATAGAGCGTCGGCCTGCGGACTGAAGGGTCCCAGGTTCGATTCCGGTCAAGGGCATGTACCTTGGTTGCGGGCACATCCCCAGTAGGGTGTGTGCAGGAGGCAGCTGATTGATGTTTCTCTCTCATTGATGTTTCTAACTCTCTATCCCTCTCCCTTCCTCTCTGTAAAAAATCAATAAAATATATATTTTTTAAAAAATGACAGGTTTAAGAAGTAAAAATTGCTAGTTATAAGAACAGTCACAAGGATATAAAAGACAACATTGGGAATATAGTCAATAATATTGTAATAACTATGTATGATGTCAGATAGATACTAGACTTATGAGGGTGATCACCTTGTAAGTTATATAAATGTCTGATAACTATGTTGTATACCTGAAACTAATACAATATTGCATGTCAACTGTAATTTAAAATTTTTTTAAATTAAAATAATTTTTTAAAATAAAAGAGGGATAAAAATGTATATAATAAATAAAATATATTATGTAATTACATAATATATGTCAATCATTCATAATATAACATTTTATATATATATATTCAGATCATTCAGCTTGTTTTAAATTTAATTCTATTTGAGGTGCCAGTAGGTTTTAATGTTGTATGGGTGCATGAACAGTGGACTTCTAGACATGAAACAATTAGAAGAAAATACAATGAAAGTTCAAATTAAATACTGGGTACCAACCCAAGGTTGCATCATTGCATAACTCCACGAGGCGTCATTCACATTGCATTTCATGGAAATGGTGGTTACTGGAATTGTACTCTGGGGCACCTTTCACATAGGTAATGTGTTATCTTTGTGAAATATAAGGCAAATGTTATTCTTTTGATAGTTACTAAGGGTTTTTTCTTTCAGTCTCCTCTAATGTTGCAAGGTGGGTGAGTCATTCTCCATTTCCTTTCTCCATGCCATAAAGTGAGCATACTATCAGCAAATGCCATCACAGCATTAAGCTTAACCACCAGCCTCTGTGGTGATAAAATAACAACATCCATGACCTTTGACTTTATAGCTTACACCTTAATCATTTTTGTGACACAGAGGAGTAACAATGTGCTATTGATGATGTAATTGTCAGAAATATGTTTTGAACACTCTCTCTTTGTCAAACTTGAACAAAGCTGCTTTATCTGCAGGCTTCTGTCTCCCAAGCTCTTCTCCACATCTTCCTGTGTAATCTAATATGTATAGTACATCATGCAGTTTTCTAAAAAGAAAAAAATACTCAGAAATAGTTATGCTTTAACATATCTTTTCATTCTTTCTTTCAGAATTGAGCATCTGGCTAGGATATTATTGAATATGTAGGATGCTGTGAACTTAGGATCATGTATGTGCTTAAAGGAGGTTACAGGTTTTGTGCGGATCTTATAGAACATCAGTCAAAGTTCAGATAGATATGTCTCTATGAAGGTTGATTTCATCAGACTAAAACGTTACAGGGTAAGTTATTTGTGCTATTTTCATTATATGACCTTTCAAATGAACAACTTTATAGAGTAAAAGAACGAATAATGTTATGAAAATTAAGATTATAATTCTTTTAAATTTGCAAGATACTGCAACCTGTAATTCAAATAGTATTCTTTAGGGTGGGGTGGGACTCCTGCTATCTATTTTAACCTATATGGAAAGATGCTTCAGGAATGATTCATGTTTCTTTTATGGTTATAAAGTTGAGTGGTTACTTCCTGGTGCCCAGCTTAACAAGTGAGTGTGTTAAGAATACGTGTTAAGAAAGTCCAGTGAATTCTGACCTGGTTGTTCCTGTTGGCCCTGGAGACTTGTGTGAGAGTGTTCAGCCCAGAGAGGAGAGTGTTAATACTTGAATGATTGCAGTCATGGCCTTGATGTAGAGAAGGGAAGGCTGTGGGATCAGTGAGTTACTATGTACGATGAGACAAGACCAGGGGCCCCTTCACTAGTCTATGCTGGGCTCTCTTGGCCACCACTGAACAGAATTGAGGGAGATTATTCTCCAGAGATGTCATCCCCTTGGCCTTCACCTCTTCTCTCTATGATGTTACCTTTTGTGATGCTTTTCCATGCAGTGCAAGTCATTAAAACTGCCTTACTACCGGGTGAAGAACTATTGGAGTCACAACCATGAGAGTATTCACATTGATTAAACTAGCTTGCACATTTTAATTCACTCTTTGAATTGGTTTTCTACTGCTATATGACAAATTTTCCATGAACCTAGTGGCTTAAAGGAACATTTATCATCTTATTATTAGAAGTCTGGGCATTGGTTCTCTGCTCAGTCTTCCCAAAGGAAATCAAGGTGTTATTCGGGGCTTTGATCTGACCTGAGGTTTGGGGTCCTTTTCTAAGATCACTGGGTTTTGGCATAATTCAGTTCCTGTTTCCCCTGACTCTTGGCTAGAGACCTCTTAGCTCCTAGAGGTCTTTACCTCCTCCATAAGCAGTTCACCGCACTGCAGGAGACCCTC